AACGCTCGATAAGGACCAAATAGAAAGGATCACGACTTGGCAACATCCCAACAGACAACGATCTTTTGGTGCACGTTATGTGTCCAACCCTTCCCCTAGGCAAAGGTGATCATGCATTGATGATCAAGGAGGAACTACCAACAGTCGAACATGAAGCCTTCCGCTCTCATCAAGAGGGAGGAACACCTCTCAAACGCCCTTGGATTACTTGCGCAAAGTAAAGGGAAATAGGGGAGAAAAAGAGGGATGGTGTAAGTGGCGTACATCTCATGAGAAATCGGACTTCCTTAGCTACAAGAAGTTACGAAACTTATGCTCGCAGTAAAATGCCCAAATACGAGATTAACCTGGCCAAACAGTTAACTTACAACCCAAGAAGCCTATATCGGCCTGTCACAGAAGAATAAAGGTTTAACCCTTATCAAGCGGAGGACCACAGAATATAGGAAATGCTGAACGACCGATATGACGAGCAGTTCAACACATTAATGCATACACCGCCAAAGTCCAGTAACGTAATGAAGTCCAAGGACATTGATATAAGTCTGATGAACATTCGGATTTCGTCAAACCAGGTGTTTGCTTAACTTTCAACACTCCGAATAAGGAAATTTACGGGCTATAACGAAATAAAACCCGTGGTCCCACGTCAGTGTGTCAAAGTGACAAGTACACCCATTTGCGATCTGTTAACGCACTCGCTGCAATTAAGTCTACTCTGCTATCCTTCAACGGAGGAGAACCAGAAAACCAGTGCAATTATAGACCAGTTGCGTTACTTACCATACTATCCAAGGTGCTAAAAAGCCTGGTTTCGGATGTTGTTTGGAGCCACCTAAATGGAAACAACATCGTCCATCCCACCCAACACGGCTTCAGAACCGGGCTGTCATGTGCCATAAAAAATTCATGACCGCTTGCAATGACTGGGACAACACGCAACTAGTTCACATTATCTTTCTCGACTTAGCCAAGGCCTTTGATACTGTCCTACACTACACTTGAAACAGTGCGCAGCATAGAAACGCTCACAGCATATCTAGAAGACAGAGAATTCCATACTAAGGTAAACAGAATAAGGTCGGTTTGGAGGAGTGCAAGAATAGGAGTTTCTCAAAGAACGACCCTTGGGCCACTCCTATTTTTAATATTCATCAATGGTCTCCTCACTCAAACCTTTTCGTCTATCCTCCTATTTGCTGACGACATCAAAACATAGAGGGCAATGGGTAGGGAAGATTATCCTAGGATACTCCAAGAGGATCGGCTGCAGTTGGAGCTCTGGTCAGTTGAGAATCGTTTGAGCTTTAACCTACGGAAATGCAAGATGATTTATCTTCGCAAACCTGAATCCATGAAAACCGACTACACCATCAACAAGTGACCTGTCATCAGCGTGTCCACAGAGGAGGACCTAGGAGTAAACTTCCCTGACACAATAGATATCTGTGAAAACTATGGGGTAATGATGACAAAGGTCAACGCTGTCATGCACCTTGGAACAAGGCAGATTGCAACCCTTACCCCTGAATTGTTCCTCATGGCACTTGAAACTTACATTGGCCCACAATTAGAGGTGTTCAATACGATACCTCCTCCTCTACTAAGGAGACATGCAAGCACTTCCGAGAATGTGAAGAGAAGTCCAACAACATCAGTTGTCCGACCAACAGACAAAATATATCCACAACACCTTAGACAACTCAACTAGTTCATCTGGAGCTGTCGAAAGAAAAGAGGCCACCCAATAACAGCATACAAGATCATCCACTAAGCAGACCACTCCAACAGGAAAACATTATGGGTCACAAAACCAACAGTCTCATGAGAACCAACTCACAAACCCCATCTAGAGTTCAAAGATGGGAATGAGATCTAACATCACTTCCCACTGAGTATGTGCCTTATGGCACGGTGTGCCGGAGGAAGTAGCCACAGGTACACCACTTGACTCCTTCAAACGGCTCCTCAATAAGTACGCGAGTGCAAACAGCTTGTCACCAACATTCAACGGTAGCAACCGAACGTATGCCCATCCATCCCTGCATTACTCGACCATAGTATCTGCAATATGATTTATCCCTTCTCCATGCTTTCCATATTTTTCCATGAGTACTCTTCACTCTTCTTTTCTTATTCCCTGCTATCCCTATTTCTCGTACTACTTTGTAAATAACACCTAATGATTATTTGCAGGTGCATACAACAACAGGAATTGGAAAAGTCTAATTGATTTTATCAGCAGCTCTGTTTCTTCCCGAAACAAACAAACCTACAACTAGCAAAAGAAAACCTTCAAACAGACAATAAGTATAAGCAGCTAAACTGTAAAGACTTCTGCGATCACCGATGGAGTATAGCCAAACAAAAAGAACCGAGCCTCAAGACCGAGAAGCGAGAGCTCAAAAACTACACGTTTCATCTACTCGCACTATTTATGTTGGATGTTGGACCATGTAAATACCAGATTGGTTAAACAGAGAAAAATCAATAAGTTATAGTATTGTAGAAAGGCCTAGAAATAGTCAAGGCCACATAATTTAATACATAATTTAGATTATATTAAGTGGTGATACAGATGTAACAGTAATCCTAATCAAAGCTATCAACTCAAACTCATGTAGCTATTTAAAAGCTTATGGGAAAGTTTTCACATAAATCGACGACAACTAAAGGTGTTCTCAAGGGATCCCCACTTTCATCATCCCTGTTTAGTTTCGTTATGCAAGTATAATCACTCAGACTGGTCAAAGATTAAGAAGTTGGTGATAAATAAAGATGAGAGGAAAAAGATAGACCTTAAGAATTCATCGAAGCAAACAGCTGCAGAGTTGAATCGGTTTCTCAGGGTAACCTATTTCGCTGTTGGATGACTGCGACCCGGTGGCGCATTGTCACGCAGCCTTCTTTTGAAGTTATCGACTTACCGGACGGTAACTCCGTTATTTAGCTTGACTTTCCAGGTGTGAGAGAAAATCGTGGTTAGCCGGTGTTCGATTTACCATTCTCGTTAGGAAATAATCCGAGTTTTCTCGACTTTCGTCGTAGTGTCTGTCTTGTAGTGTTTCATTACTCGAGTGACTTGTATTATTCATTGCTGTATCAGCTGTTAATAGTTTGGAAACTGAAGCATTGGCGTGGACCAGTAGAACTCTGCTTCAGTGTACCACCTAACCAAAAAACTGTACATATATACGATCTTCCTCGGACAACCAAACTACTTAGTATGGAACTTTTTCCTTTCAAAGAAGTGGAATGAATTAGTGTTTTGAGTCTATATCTGTTATGATCGTATACACAGACCATAAAATCCTAACATACACTGACCTAGACGTCGTGATGAGTAACAATCCTACCAACCTCAGGTAGAGATTTCGGAACAGCAGTGATAAATTGGCTGATTTATACACAGCTTAAATTTTAAACCAACAAGAAAACTCTACACAAGTGGTCATCCATTCACCAAATTTGGCGAACAGCCAAAAGCATGGTAAGTCTACCCTACAATGAACAACTCCAAAAGGTATATGTTTTTCAAGGGGACAAATTCTGATATTCAAGGTTTTACGCAGTGACCTCTGACTTAATGTCTTCTCACAAGGCTAAGACGTTCCAAACAACATTAAAAAAAACTTATATACTCCGAACTGACAGCTAACTCCATACGCAAGAGCCACCGACCACAAACCGAGACGAATAGAGAAGACTGAAGATGGACGGGGGAGTTTATTCCTCCAAGAATAATAATCAACTAACCTAAAAACACGTGAGTATGTATACACATGAGATATGACCTTGTTCGCAAATTGAGACATTAACATAGTAAAAGAAAACATTAACAAATCGGCGAATTACATTACAAATAGGGGTGGAAAATGAACTACTACTCAATGCTGTAAAAAAAAATGGTGTGAAAATGACAAATAAAAGAAAATGTTCAAATCGATAACAATGTTTTATGCAAACTGGGACCTTTCACTAAAAACAAAGTGTAATGATCGATGCTGACACAAATCATTGCTTTTCTTAACACTGAGAAGTTCAATCTATGAAGCGACTGTTAGGAAGACACTTATGTCATCATTTATTTGTTCATGAGTTGACCGAATCAAAAAAACACTAGTTGGAAAAGAATTAGTTCTGTCTCTCGTTTAAGCGGTAATAAAAGGTACTAAAAGAATGTGACAAATCCAACATTGAAAAATTGATGAGCAGTGGTTTTGAAAATAAATGTAAGTAGTCATGAGAGTGCTTTGACCATTACAGTTCACAACATCTAGATAGGTCATGGAAATTTGCATCATAAAGAACATGTTCATACTACCAGGAATTTGTGAAATCATGTGGCTGTTCTAGCCTTTCAGGATGTTTACCATTACCTTAGGTTAGAAGTACCTCAAGATCGTGTAGGAGCGGAAACCTCACTGTGTTACTTCGCCGAAAAGCCCACACATAACCCCCTATCGAAACTCGATCAAGCAGTGCACTCTCTCCAGCCCAGAACTTGACGCTACATCTGCAAGACTGTGAAGACTAATTGAGGAACCCTTAGATACTTAATGAGTGGATCACACTAATTTGTCTAATATATAATTATACTCTACTATAGTGGCCAAGTTTTTCCCTTACATTAAAATTTATAAAAACTTCGTGTCTCTAAAGGACTTAAGAACTAACACAGATTGTTAAGCAGTTGACAGGGATGCGCTTCCCAAACTGTCAAAGGTTGCTTTGACATTAAAGGGAACGAAACACATTGTTCTATATAAGTCCTGCTCTAGACTTTACCGGATAGTTTCAGAAATATTGGGTATATATATAACCGACAGTCGGTGATATGATTCAACAGAGTCCTAACTGGTAGGTCATTCTGACGTCCAGTAATCGAACTACACACACACACACACACACACACACACACACACACACACACACACACACACACACACACACACACACACACACACACAAATGCGCCTTAAACATTAATAAGAGTGTAGTAAGAACAAAATACTCTTTTGTAATTTTAGTTGTCAGTGTTATTCAATGCCGTTGGCCAATTTATTGATATTAAATTCTGAAAGGTGAATATAACAACAATTTCTTGACAACATTTAAAACTCAGTTTGTAAAAGCACCAAAAACCATAAAGTCAATTTCTTATACATATTACGCATAAGTATTTTTTTCTTTGTTAAAAATATCTAGAAACAAACCACACAAGAAATAAAAACAGTATTTGAATAATAATGGCATCGTTTACTATTCTGATCCGGTCTCTTGTACCACGATAAGACTATAGTCACGATCTGAAGTAAAGTAAGAAGAAACAACAAAATCTATCAGTAATTATACAAACGACAACTAGTAATTGTTTATTTAAAGCAATATATACTAACACTACTACCACTGAATAACAGACTGGCATCCCCTTGTCAGTTCAATCGAAAAACAAAATAAGGTCAGGCTGTTACAAGAATCGGCGCACTACAACACAACCTACGGCTGCTACCAGATGAAAGCGATTGGCAGGAAGCCATGGACCGAGGTTACATGCTTTTCGGCACTCATCAGAAAGGTGTATCCACAATCTCTACGGAAATGGGGCTCGAACCCCCCCCGTCACCCAGTGCTGAAGTCACAGACGTTACCATTGAGCTATTCAGGCCCCAACTGACCTGCTGTAGTCATTGGAGAGTAAGTTACAGTTTCTTCACTGACCTTATCATGAATGCAAAAGATAACAGTGTTGCAAAGTAAGTACATTACCTGCTGAACAGTAATATACCGCATGTCATATGTTGATATTTGCATAATGACGAGATAGGGAAAAATAACTAATTCCGGGAAATGTTGGAGTACTATTACTTTAAGGAGTAACTAGCAATTCTAGTTCACCCATCATTCACCGGTATGCATTGGCATGCAAATTTATTTCATTGACAACAAATTATTCATAGTATCCTAATCTAATGATGTTATTATAGTCGATAAAACAACAAACAGTCCACTATTACTTAGAACAACACCGGTGAACATTGGTTTCTTCTTTGAGTTATTATGACTTTACATTATTCAGAAACGTCCTAGAAGATATTTCTCTTAAAATGATTACAGCAAGTGTTCATCGCCTTCTACCAGTGATATATTATTTCATCCAGAGGAAGTTTGTTGTAACAAGTCCATTATACATCAATCAATTAAACTTTAAACAAAGTGAAGTGAACAGTTTTAGTGAAAATGCATAAAGACAATTGAAAACAAAATTAATCATTACCTACCTGGTGCCACCATAATTTCATTTCGTGTACTTCGTATACGTAGAAATGTCAGATCATTAGATGGATCTAAATCACGAACAGCAGATCGGGATTTAGCTATCAACTGTTGTATAAGGGCACAATAATGATTCGTAGTACTATTATCCATTGATGTTCGTATTGCGATACCTTGAATAGAGTAAATCAGATTTACTTACATTTAATAGCAAACTGAATTATCACCAGATTTATGTGTTTGAAAGGGGGTAGTTGAGATTTTGATTTATAATAGTATAGTTTCATAGATTGATTGCTCTCCAGTGACCAATCGCGGCCAGAATAGCTCAGTGATAACGTCACTTACTACAACGCTAGGTGATGCGGGTTCTAATCCCACGCGGGACATCAGTTCCCTTGAGGTTGTAGATACGCCTAGCTGATGAGTGCCAACAAGCCCGAAACCTAGGTTGACCGGGGCTTCCTATCGATTACCTTCAACTGATTAGCATAGTTTCACTATTCAACAATATCTGTTCGATTTTATGTACACTACAACTGCTTATGCGATGCAGAAAAATGTGTAGCGTTCATCGTTAGTAGCAATAAATGCAACTTAGCCAGCATCCAAATAAATGTGTTGTGAACCATAAACGTTAGTTATACTAGTTGGCATTTGGAGAAAGTAGATAGAGAAGTAATCGACTACGCGATTAGTCAAAACTTAAATAATTGAATCAATGAACCATAAATGAAAAAAACTATTATTCAAAAACAAATTTCCCTTGGTGCCGGTGCCACACATTGAGTCAATCGGGAGAATCTTTCGCCTTAAGTTTCGTACTACTTGGCACTCATCAGCAAGGTGAATCTACAATGAATACACGTAAACGCATCCCTGTAGGCTCTGAGTACAATGAAGAGCGAGCGCAACTTAGAAGTAGATTGAGAAAAAGTCTACGCAACGACCGCGAACAGTGGTGGGCAGCAAAGGCTAAAGAGATGGAAAAGGCAGCGGCGATCGGTAACAGTAGACAGTTATTCAAACTTACTGAAGAAACGTGGGTGAAAAGGTCCACAACGGTTAGTGAAACTGCAGCGGAGAAGGACGGGCCTGCGATTCACTTGCAGGGGAGACGACTGGAAGGATGGGCAGAACACTCCGAGAAACGGTTTAGCTAGTCTCCTGCCACCATTGCATTGCCCGCTATCCAGTCGGAACCTGAATAGAACATTGAGATAGGCCCCCCAACACTTACAGAAGTCGGGAAAGCTGTAGGTAACTTGAAATGAGGAAGGGCAGCAGGACCAGACGAACTAACTCCTAGGGTATACAAGGATGGTGATAGAGTCCTTTAAGGTTAACGGAAGTGGTAACTAGTACATGAAGATCAAATACGGTCCCCTTTGACTGGTCTCAATCACTGATTATCCCAGTCTTCAAGAAAGGCGAGAAGTCCTCTTGTGATAACCACAGAGGAATCAGCCTGACGAACAGTGTCCAAGATCCTAGGTTCTATAAGTCTCCGACGCCTGAGTGTAGCTCGGGAACAGCAAGCCCGAGAAAAGCAGGCAGACAGGCTTTAGACACGGCCGTGGGTATATCGACCAAATATTCACACTGCGCCACCAGGTTTGGGAACACAGAAACGCTTGTCGACGTCCGACATTAGCTGTATCTCTTGAACTGAAGGCGGTGGCATTCGACTCCGTTGGTCGAGAAGTCTTACGGCAATGTCTCTCACTGAAAGGCATGACGAGTAAGTACATCACCTTATTGAAGGCTGTCTATTCGAAACACTTGTGGGCGTGTTAGAGCCTGTGGCGAGATATCCGGCGAGCTATACTCGTCGAGTGGTGTCCTCCAAGACTGCCCATTCTCTCCATTCTTATTTAATTTCGCCATGGATGTTCTTATGGAGGTCTACCTTTCATCGCCTGACTACACAGAGGTTGACCTACTCGCTGGAGACTTTTCGTTAGACCTAGAATACGCAGGTGACATACCCCTGTTAGGCGAGGACGCTGACAAGATGCAGGGTCTTCTGGACACTTTGAGTGGCAGATTGAGAATGTTTGGGATGCGTTTCTCACCACCCAAATGCAAATTTTTACTCTAAGATTGGTCTTCAACAGTGCCTCGGCTAACAATAGAGACTGTAGTGATTGAGTGTGTTGACCACTTCACTTATGTGGGAATTAGGATCAGCCCTGGTGGCTGGCTCAGTGGTTGATGACAGAAAGCTTGGTTGACTTTTGCCAAGTTACACCACTTGTGGCGCCACCGTGATATCCGATTGTCTATTAAGGGTCGTGTGTACTGCACCTACACAGCAGTCCGGTCTGTTCTACTGTATGGCTGTGAAACATGACCATTGAAGGTGGAAGGTATGAGAAGGCTGGCTTCAGGTGTTTGACCACTGTCGCCTTCGTAGTATGGGCCACCGTATTCCATGGTGTCACCACGTGAGTAACGGACAAGTTAGGTGTAGAGTTTTAGGGAGTAGAGGTAAATCAGTTGATGAGGTTGTGGACCTTCATCGACTGGGATGGCTGCAATACGTGTCACGTATGCCTAGTGGCCGTCTACTTCATCCCACAATGTTGGCCGAAGTAGTTTCAGGCTGGAAAGTGGCTTGAGGTGGCCAGACTGAGACATGTCATCAATGTAAGAAGTGTTTGATTGTTGGTTTGAGCCATATGGGGTGATGCAGACTGGGTGGTTGTGGTCGGTGGGACAAGACAAACCAGTGGTTGGAGACTGTAGGTGATATGGCTCGGAACCGAATTCAATGGCGTAGATGTATACATACATTATCCTCATCATGACGACGCCATACCGAATCTCAACATTTTTTTATTTTTCCTCTCTTTCTTTGAGTACTTTATATTTCTTCTGAGTGAATTTTCTTTTCTTCATCTTGCACTTCACTGACTTTTTACTTGATGTAGTGATATGAGGTGTAGCAACTCGGACCGTTACGCAGCAATGCCTGGTCCTGTATTGATCTGGATGGATAGATGGATGGCATCTACGATTATGAACAGATAACTTATACTTAACCCTTGTAAGGCTGCTGTATAGGTCTCAAAAACTCAGTTCTACAGCTTTCTGGTGATTGACTCTTAACATCTTAAGTTGGAATACAGTGTTCTGTATCAAATAGCATCAATTAGCTTGGTGGCCAAATTGAAAACTTGAGATCGATAGGTTTCTATCAGTCCTAAACACTTATAACTTGACGCCTGAATTGATAAAGGAGTGTTATAGAAGATTATACGATACACACCTACTCTGCTTTCTTAGTTTTGTTGACACTAGAAAAGTGAACACTGGATTTCTGCTGCTTGTTCTGTTACCGAATTCAATCACCACGAGATCTAGTGGCAAAAGTAAAACTTGATTACACAAAGGATATGACGAAAAATAGAGACATCATAAGAAGCCAAGAAAGATATAAGAGACTTGACAGTTTTTCTGGTATTATCAAAGATTCTATTGACTGTCAAATAAAGCAGCTTATAAACAGACAAGCCAACGTAGTACCTTGTAAAAACTAAATCGATTCAATTTGCCACACTTCGAAGAAGCATGGGAAGGAAAAGGCACGAAACCATAGAGTGTATGAGAGAAGGATAAATAAATGAAAGTTAATGAAAGATGACTAAGAGTATAATTATACCTTTGCGCTACTATGATCGATTTTGAAGCACTCCATTCACTTGAACTTGAGTAACCGGGTAGTATCATAAGCCCTCACACTACAAGTGTCGTTCGTAACCCTATACATATAAAGACGTACCAAGTCAAACTGCATTTTGTACTTAGTTCAATAAAGTGATAAAGGAAAAGGTGATCTTGTGATCTAAGTATTCGTATGGAGATATTGTGCATTAGCATGAACACTCAAACAGAAGATGAGCAGTTCGACCATGTGTAGCAGAGGAAAATTAAGAGTATCAATAAACAACAACTGATACCTACGCCACAAGAGTGGCTATCGTGCTCCAGTGAATAACGCTTTGGCATTTGAAGCGATAGGTACTTGGCTTGAGTCTCAGTGGGGACAACATCACTCACTAGGATACAGGTCCATCCAGCTGACGAGTCATAAACAGGACGAAACGCATGTCTCAGATCCCAGTGCTAACCATCAAGATGAATAAGTACCCAAACTTTTATCAGTGTGCAGTAAGGCTCGAAACCCCAACTACATACTGAAATAACAACAAGTAGATACTACTATTCAAGTTTATAAACTATGCCCTACTCATACTTTAGAGCAAGGATAACTTCTAATATATGTAAAATCTAAGGATAACAAAAGATAACTGATAGTTTCTAATAGTTTAAACATTCTTACAAACCACCTTATCTCACGCTTCTGATGAAACTAAATATAATCTTCCATTTCCAATGAGAAAGGAAGCAAACATCAAGGAATTCTTCTCCACACAGCATAACACATAAACTGAGACAAAAAGAAAACAGCTAAGGATATCCGGGCAGTATATAGAAAAGTCCTTAAGGAGTTAGGGAATTTCAAGGATTAAGTGAACTGAAAACTTGTATTGCCAGCATCAGTTTCTCCGGATATTTGTTAAACATTACTTACCATGGTTTTAATTTGCATGGCAAAATAGAAAATAATCTAAAAGACGTGATAACACTGACATTTTATGTTACGGTTTACAGTGAGCTATTCAACTAGTATCCATGACAAATGGTATTTTTGTTTACGAAATTTTAGTCTCCTTTTTATTGAGCTTTTTCAACCAGTGGGTAATAGGTTTGAACTCTGCTTTACATACCGACGGTTAGGCAGTCAAGCAATATCATTGGCCTTGAAAAATTAGATGGGGCTTATTGCACACAACACAGTTACACTTCTTGTAATGATACTTGTAATTTCGTGTTGCTATACAGGGTCGAGTTACTCGACCTCTGTTAGTGGACGGTTCCTATACAGATGCCTAGATACCGCTGGATATTCATGATGTTACATGGATCTTGGTGACTAGCAGAGGAATCCAGGACGTACATTTCGTCCTAGTTGAGACTCGTCAGCCGGATATACCTGCATTGGGATACTGGGTTCAAGCCTCGGTGGGAACATCACCAACTGCGGTGCAGATACATCCAGCTGACGAGTCCCGAATAGGACGAAACGCATGTCCTGAAATCTGCAGCTAGTCACCAAGATCAATATAACAGTTGCAATTCTTTATCTCAAATTTTTAAGGAGTGATATGCTAGTTGCAGCCTCTTCACACTGACTTAAAAGTGTTCAGAAAAAGTGCATCATTGTGCACATTATGATGGATGAAGAAATTCGAAGCTCTATTGACTGAGAGGTGTTGTGCATGACTGGTCAGTGTTAACTGCAGCTTGTTGCTAGGATGGGATGGAAATGATAAGCTAGTAAAATTAAGATATAATGCCAAAATCATGAAGTTCTTATTGATCTATATCATGTAGCAAACTGTTGCCAGCTGTGTGAAGCCCTACGTGGGGCTGCGGCTCAGTGGTAGTTCAGCGAAATGACTATCAACCAGTGGGTCACGAGTTCAAACCCCGGGTGATATCACTAGCCCTCATTCAATAGGAGCAGCTTATAGCCTAATGCACGGATGTGCACAAGGCAGAGTTCCGAAGTTCTACATAGTTGATGATTATTACTCTCTGTTAAACCTGCTTCATAACACTTTACAGCATTACAAAGTGAGATTTGTCAGATTCCTTTCAAGAAATCCTTCCAATATATATGCTGTTGAAGTCTATACCACACTGGTTAAGTTTGGAAGAAAGTTCACGATAAGTAGACCAAGACGTGGCACTAGTCAATGAAGTCTCTGATTAGTGGTCTCAGTCATGTGGAGAAATGTAGACTGCCTGGTTGGGATCCTCAAGACGATAGAAATCAATGGTTGAGTACTGACTCTTGATGACATGGCTGAAAATCAGTAATAATGGTGCACATGCATTCCCTCTTTGACGTCTTCTAAAGCTTGAATATTCGCTTCAAATCGTCCATTCTCTCATCCAACTTCATCGACGTTGATATCACTGTCTTCCTATCCACCTGTTGTTTGTATAGTATAGTGAAGTGTGGCAAATTAAACTGATGCACTTGTGTGCGAGGTTCTACTTTGATCTTGTCGGCTTGTCTACACTCCGTATGTACCTTATTACGGTTACTGAATCACTGATAACAACCGACACACCCATATATTTAAAAAAAATTACCTCGGTAATATTCATCACGGATAGACATCACTTGGAAAATCATTGAGAACCTGGGAGCACTTGACAGCTGTTTCGTCCTAACATGTGACTCTTTAGCAGTACGCACCCATGACCTCAGTAGAGATAGAACACAGGACCTTCAGGCTTTGCGCAAGCGCGTTAGTCATTCAGCTACTGAGTCGGAGTTTCCTGTTTTTCCTATTCCTGACTATCATCCACGGCTCTCAGGTGACATCCGTCCCACTTCCCACTTAGTCGAGTCCACGGGTCATGACTTCTCACTAGGACTTCAGGATATCCGTCTCAAAGCATGTCACTGGTGAGCGATAGACAGTAATCCTTGGAGGGATCGTGGATGCATGCTGGTTGAAGAGTCCTATACTAGTATGAAACAGCTGTCCAGTGCTCTCAAGTTTTTCATGGTTCCCCAACTCATGTCAATCCGTGATGAGTACTTCCTTGGGAGAGATAAATCCCCACAAACCTTCAGACTAAATTCAGTTCTGTAAATCAGCAACGAGGACGATCGAAACTCCCAATACGAGTGTACAGATGATAAAAAGAATGAGGATTCAGGGGGAGGGAGAGAATAAAAGAAACAACAGGATGATTCTGTAAAGTATAATGAGTCGATAAAGCATCCGCATCTGATGAAAAGCTGTGCAATAATGAAAATGGAAATAATGGAAAGGTATCTGAGAAATTCAGGAACAGTGCACACAAAGATTTTTAGCTATTATCTACGTCTATAATATTATCAATCAAGCTTGTTTCGCATTTCATTAGTTTTCGGCTGTTGTAATACGTAATGCCCTTACTGTCCATCACAGCTGTCGTTTCCAACGGTTCAATCTTTGTTGTCCACCAGTCCTCATAGCCACTGTGAGTACTGTGTTAGTCGATGTTCAAACTTCTGTTCCTCATTAGTCCTTAAACCTATAGTTTTCGTGTCGAATAACTACAGGCCTAAGCGCATCACAAACTACTATGATCAAGCCTATTCGTCGATGACTAACAGGGGAGGATTTTCTCCTTTCTTATGGGATGATATGTGAATAAAAAGATTTTGGTAATTCTGTTTCCTCATCTCTAATTACCAGCTCAGTGAGGTTTTAGGTGATTCTTGAGCAGATAATTCGAACATTCTTGGTTGGTAGATATCTTAATGCAAATGAGATGGAGTTGACAGGAAACCTATGTCGTGATAAAATTCGAACCACTGACATCTGGTAATTCCTGATCACTATCCTTAAATTAGTCACAGCGACAAACTGAAAAATCCTAGTTTCACACCCGCAATTGCTTTCTGAGTTTCGATAAGATGCAGGGTCGATGTTCACATCCTTTTACGATTAAAAGTGGTTGATGGTCAATTGGAGCATATCTGCATTCCGGTTTAAATGTTCTTTAATCCTCTTTTTAAAATGACTGTCAAACAGAGCATTCATTCAGCCAGTCAGGCAATATGTGAATGGAACTTGACATTACTGTGTAATGATCCAAGTAGTCACAACCTCACCATCACTACATACAGGTAGAAGGCACTAAGATGAAAGTAGTAAAAAGTAGTAGAAAGTCGTAAACTGGAAATTGAAAGCAATGAAACAGTGATAAAATTCTGTATTATAATCCTTAAGGTGAGGGTAATATGTGGATGCCTCTGTGCCACTGAGGTCGTTTCTGAGCCACATCACCTAGAGTCTTCAATTAATGATTACCATTGTCACGTGGATCACAACCCAGAAGTTGACATTTCGCAACATGACTTAGACTAACACTCACACATTTCATGAACTTAGGTCATGTTTAAGAGATATTATCTGACTGTTCAAACACTCCACTAAGTAAACCAAGCTTCTACCTCGTAATTTACTGTTTAAGCTACTCATACAAAAAGACTAAAAACTATTTTTACATTTAGACTATCAAATACAAGGCATTATAATCCTTACCGTCTGAGCTGACAATAATTGCCCCAATTACTCCTTTGTGTGCCAACAGTCTTTTAAATATCTCTTCTACCTCTGACTGGAAAAAAAAAGTTGTAAACGATTTAGGATGCACTAGTATGAATCAATATTATAACTTCAATTAAAAAAGAAACTATAACAGGAACGTTAACAAACATGTCAGTCACTTCCCCCCCCCCCTAAATATTCCATGACTATGACAATAGTAGCAAATATTATGCAAAATAAATACTTTCTGAGTAGAAGAAAAAGTTTTAAAAAATCCTTTTTCATCTTCACATCGTTACCCACAGAAAAAGCTATACGAAGCTATTTAAGATAAAAAGCATTTTTTGCTGCTGTATGCACTCGTCAAAGTCTTAAGTCTTCAATAGTTCTCAAAAATCGACAAAGCATATGTGTGGTACTCTGATTTTGCTAAGAAAAGGCTATTAGATACACCTTACTAAAGGAATAGCGTATACATCTAAGTATTTGTAATCAATACCCAAAAAATAAGTAAATACGTAGGGGAAACCAAAAGGAAAAAATATAGAGAACGATGAACTAAAGGATGATATAAGTTTTTAAAAATGAAAAGTAGTTTTATAGACAGATGAGACTCAGTTAAAAAAGTATCTAAAGGACTTTCATTTCATTCTGTGTTCTGTGAACACCGACTAAACATGTCAAAATCGAAACAAGAAATGTTAAAATGAACTCAGCAATCATGTGCATGCCCGTACAGTAGATAGTGACTCACCTATTTTGAGGGTGAATGCCGCTACCTGACTGAGTAACCTTAGTAGGTGGAGTGGGGTTTGAACCCATGACCTACTGTTTGAGAGTTAACTGCCTAAGCCATTGAACCACCGATCAACAACTGCTCGTAATTAGCGAGTTTCAGAGACAGAAATAGATTTACTAAATTGGTAAGCAACCCGTACTTTCACCAAAGTAACAAGAAAATTTGCTGTGAATCTAAAGTTTGTCTAGAATGACAATGAAAGCATCAAGATTAAGCCATCCAGCTTAGATAACAACATTATTAAAACAAATGAAATTTCTTGATCATCTCTGTCTGTCTCAACTGACTACACCTCAGATGCAGTTAAGGATGAGTTCTACGAATAAATCAACTGCTCTCTCGTTAAAGATAGATCAAGAGCTATTCAAGTGCTAGCTGGGAACGTTAAGTATCACGAGCCACAGAACGGCCACTTGAGTGCTTATTGGGGATTATTTAGTACGGCATTACGTAATGGAGTACGTTTTCTGCAGCCTTGGACACGTCACAACACTTTTCTAGTCAGGACTCACTTCAACCACAGCCAACCTGCTACCTAACATTATACGTCAGCTACTGAAGCCTGGACTCGAATAAACCATGTAGCAATCAGCTATCGACGGCGTGAGTGCATACATGACTAGTCCTCCTTCTGCAGCACAATTGTGCCCATCAAAATCATTGTCCAAAAAGAGTCGACGTAAGCAAACCGATTGCATCTAGTTAGAACGATAACTTAATGCAGAACATCGCACACAAGTGTGTCAGTTTAAGTTGACACACTTTACAGTATTAGACAAGAAACAAGCGGATAGAAAGTGATGTCTAAATAGAAAAAGTTATATGAGAGAACAAACAATTTGAAGATGAAGGTTAGTGCGAATATTCAAGAGACAAATTCAGGATAAGAAATATGACAGGTGTTGGCCATTTGCCGGTAGGTATGCCGATGTTTCAGAACCTAGAAAAGGGTCTGAAACGTATCTGATTATCTCAAGCTCCAGACAAGCAACGGGTAACTATGGATACTAGGACCTTGGACGCAACACCAATCAAAAATGATCCCCCTACGGGGTTCCCGAAAACAGAAAACCCAAACCATCAGCATCGGAAGACTGGCAGAAAGGTGCATGCTACTTTCGAGGCGGACCTTGTCTAACCCTTCGCCTACTAATTGAGACAGCAGCATCAGCGTGGCACTGCTGGTCATTCAAGGGAAACACTTTACTACTGTGACATCCCACCCAGTCAGCAGTGCGACTTCGTCCTCAGACCCCCATCATAGTGTAGCAATTTATTCTAGACAGTAACTGCTTTTTGCCTGACAGCTATCCAGCAGACCTTCCTGGTATGGTAGGACCTCGCCTGGTTTACTAGTCGGTCCTAAACCCCGGTAGAGAGAAAGTTCGGCATAAGACTAGTAATCCTACCCCATAAAACCAATCCAACAGCTACAGAAATTTCAAAGCACAGACAAAATATACAAAATAAAAACAAACTTAATCCTCGCTGGGATCAGAGAGACGAAATGACGCCGGTTGGTGAAAGCCTTCGGGAAGCCTGTCGACAGATGTGTCTTCTCTCTCTCTCTCTCTCGATGAAAGCGAAAATAAGCATGCGGACATGAAATGTCCGCATGATGTTTGAACCTAGAAAGGCTGCCCAGATTGCGAAAGAGATGAGAATGTATGACATAGAAGTGCCAGGAATCTGCGAAAGCAGATAGAATGGAAGTAGACTCTCCAACCTCTTAATTGGAGAGTCAATAATCTACTCCGATACTGTCACCCAGACAACAATCACGAGCACACTGAGCTTCAGAGTAGCTATCATGATGTCCCCAACAACATCGAAGGCTCTCTCATGCAGTGGAAATCAATCTCCTCCTGTAGGATCAGGATCATGACAGCAAGATTCAACTCAAAAGGAAGGAAAGTCAAAACCATACAACGCTTCGCTACACTACACACCTACAAATAATGCAGATGAAGAGAAGAAGGAGGAATTCTACAGACAACTGCAATCAGTAATGGACAAGACCCCACCCCAGATGGCGACATCAAAATTCTAATGGGTGGGGTGACATGAATGGCAAACTGGGAGTGGACAACACAGGAGAAGAACTGATTATGGGTCGAGAGGCACTGGGAGGAACGAATGAGAACGGAGAACTGTTTGCAGACTTCTAGGCGTCCAACCATTTGGTAACTGGGGGCAGCATGTACAAACACAAGGATATCCACAAAGTGACATGGATTTCACCAGACAACAGGACACACTAAAAATCAGATCGACTTCATCTCAATGTGAAGAAAGTGGAGACGCAGTCTACTGGACACAAGATCACAAAGAGGAGCAGGTGTAGGTTCACATCACTCACTATCTAGTGCAAGGAACCTTGAAAATCAAATTGAAAGCCTTCAACACTCAGAATAGAAAGCGAAGGACGAAGCTACAAAGGACATCTCCATGTCAGCCAGTCATCAGGAAAAAACGGGAGATATTAAGCATCATCCGTGAAGAAACCTGTGTGGAAGAACACTGGAACTTTTTGAAAGAGATGTGGAAAGAAACCTTCATAACCGTATTAGGAAGGAAGAAGAAACAAGACATGGAATGGAAAGGATCTCGATGGATACATGGAGGCTGATAGAGCAGGGAGAGGAAGATGGTGAAGCAGAAGATGAATCAGTGCAGGGGTGAACAACGAAAAGAGGAACTGAGTACAACCTATAAAAGACTGGACAAAGAAGTGAAGCGTGCACCGAAAGACAAAAGACACTTCCAGGACACACAGGCAAGTGAAGCAGAACAGGCTGCAGGTAGGAGAGACTTGACAACACTATATCAAATAACCAGGTTACTATCTGGGAAGATATCAACGCAGATGAAAAAAGGAAAAATAGTGAAGGAAACCTAGTTACCAAAGAGGAGGAACAAAGAAAATGATAGGCTCACCACTTCAGAAAACTATTGAATCGACCACCATCACCACCTGCAACTCGTCCACAAATACCACCACCGACCCAGCCACAGAACTACCAGTGAACACAAACTCTCCGACAAAAGCCGAAGTGGAGTCCTGCACGCTATGCCATAAAGTTGCTGAAATCCGAGAAAGCACCAGGACCAGATGGAGTCCTACCAGAAACACTTAAAACAGACGCAGAGACAACAGCCGACATGCTCACACCACTACTGCAGAAGGTTTGGCAGGAAGGAAAGGTACCTGTCGACTGATTGGAAGGACTCCTTGTCAAACCTCCAAAGAAAGGAGACCTAAGTCTTTGCAAGAACTGGCGAGGAATCACACTCCTGTCCACCCCAAGCAAAATATTGAGCCGCATCATCTGGAGAGACTAAAAATGCACTGGATTGAAAATACGACCGGAACAGGCTGGATTCAGGAAAAACAAATCATGTGCGGGTCAAATTGAAACGCTACGCATCATCATTGAACACGGTATACAACGGCAGTCAACCCAACCCAACATCAACTTCATCGACTCTGAAAAGGTATTCGACAGCGTCGACCAAGAAGTAATTTGGCAGGCAGCTGCTTCAACACTGCAAAATACCACAAACCTTTATCAACCTAATTCAACAACTATATGATATATAATGCTACATGCCAAGTGATTCACAATGGTAAGCTGAGTGGTGCCTTTGAAGTGAAGACAGGAGTAAGACAAGTCTGCCGCCTATTATTATCGATGATCTTCCTGATTGTGGTCGACTGGACTGGATCATGCAAGCAACTGTGAGGAGCGAGAAGAGGAGCATACTCTGGCTGGACCGATGAAAAGACCACACAAGAAGATTTGGATTTCACCGGTGATGATTTATGTCTAATATCATGCATAAATTCGAAGATCTACTGGCGAAAACTAACAAGTTGACAGAAGAGGCAAGACAGTGAAGAAAGACGGGACTTCAAGCGAATGCAGAGAAGACGGAGGTGAAGCAGACACCTAACCAACAACGGTATCAACAAGAAGCACCAATCACCATCAACAGAAATCTAAAGGAAGTAGTCTTTTTCACCTGCCTATCTAGACAGCATCTACTCAACTACAGGCGGCACAGATGAGGATGTCAAAGCCAGGATCGGAAAGACACCAAGACAGGCCTTCATCAATCTGAATTCACTGCGAAGATCTACTGCAATCCACTCAGTATAAAGCCTGAACAACATCCAGATTTTCAACACTAATTCAGTCAAGTAAGTCAGTGCTTCTATGTGATGGTTGAGAGACTTGGCGCGTTACGAAAAACATTTCCAACAAACCACA